TCAAAATACTAGATTTTATTATTTATTTTTATTAGTGTAGATTATTAAGCCTTGAAATAAAATGGTTACCAAAGTGCATTTGGATCAGTTTTAAAGTTTGCAATTTTTCGGTTTTTGTCAAAATTTTGATCGAGTTTTGGTCTATTGATATTTGGAATAATCCCTATGTTTTAATATCGTTGAAAAGCTCTTTTAATGTTCTATCTTACAAAAAAAAAATTTGTTCAGTGAAGAATAGTTATTGAGAAAATCACTTGTAAATGCAAAATAAGTCAAAATCTATAATCGACTCTAACTTTTAAACTATTAGGGATTTTGCAGTTTTTTTGACGTCAATCGACTCTCCGGAACATTTTACATACCCATAGTGACTTTTAAAATAGGTAATGAGCTATTTTGAAAATCGTTTAGTCGAAATTAACAAAATTAGAAAAAAGAATTTTTGCTTTATTTTTTCAAGATTCGGTTTAAAGATATTTTATTCGATAGATTTTTTCACACTGATTATGATGGTCTTGAGTTTTTAGCTCTAGGTCTCAGAGTTTGGGCGTAATCGTCGTTCAAAAAGTAAAAATTTTCAAAATTTTGCAATTTTAAATGTGTTTTTCTCGGAAACTATAAGACATAGTTACTCAATATCTCAAAAACTACTTATCGTAGAGCATTTTAACTTGTTGTATCGTGTTTAGCGAGTAATTTTACTTCCAAAAAAACACATTTTAAGGTTTTTTGCAACAAAAAGTTTATCGAGAATTTTTTATTAAACTTAGATTCAAAACTAAAAACTTAACTCAATGATAAATTTTACGAATCACTTTTGAGATACTGAAAGTGTTTCAGTTTTTTCTGAATCTTCAAAAAAGTACACATAATGTTGCTTTCAACTTTCAAGTTATATTTTCAGTAACTGAAAATTTTAGCTTTTATTAAATGTTAAAAACAAACCAATTGTGATTTCAACGTTAGGTTAAGGGTTACGGTACATATTTCAGTAACCAAAAACTTGTTTCAATTTGTGTCAATGCAACAGTACTAAAACTGAAATATGTTTTTTTTTATTTAAAATAAAAAATTAAAAAATTGTGTAGTGATTTCAACGCTGGGTTGAGTTATAATCACTAACTGAAAACGTGTTTCAGTTACTGCCAACTTAACAAAAAATAATAATACTAAGTCATTCTTGATAAATTTGCAAATAAAAACTACGTATGTGGTGATTTCAACGCTAGATAATGCTACAAATTTTTAGTAACCAACTGAAGAGTTTTTAGTTTTTGGTAAATGTTGAAATAAATGTGTGAGTGATTGGTGATTTCAATGCTAAGACAAAAGATTTTTTTTCAATAACTGAAAACGTGTTTCAGTTTTTGCTAGATGTTTAAGGAAAAGTCAAAAACGACTATAACAACGTTTTATGCACTTTTCAGAGTTTCTAAGACCATTAGAAGACATAATATAATATCTAAATAATTATTTTAGGACTGAATCATTAAAATTTTGCTAAATTTTAAACTGCTGAAAAAATGGTAATTTTAGTAGTACATCGAAATATTAATTTTGATAAAAATATTTATTTGACATTATTTATTTTGTTAAGCATTTATTTATTGCCATAGACAAAAAAATATGAAAAACTGAAAAGTTAATGGTGATTTCCACGCTAAATTATGCCACGAAGAGTACAGTTTTACTTATTTCTGAACTAAAACATTGTAATTTAAATTTTTTATAACTGAAAAAATAATAATTTTAATGCTAAATGAAGAATATTTTACTCTCTTAAACAATTTCTGTTTTTTTAAAAATGTCCTAAAAGCTTAATTTAATAAATAAATAAATAAATTAGTCGTAAACTTACTAAAACTAAGTTTTGATTGACTTTAAGTACCTGAAACTCTCAAAAACTTGAAAATAAGTGGTGATTTTAACGCTAAATCAGGCCACAAACACAGTTGAAATAATTTCAGCTGAAACGTTCTGAAAGCTTAATTTACTAAATAAATTAGTCGTAAACTTAATAAAACGTAAGTTTTGATTGACTTTAAGTACCCGAAACTACCAAAAACTTGGAAATAAGTAGTGATTTCAACGCTAAATCAGGCCACAAACACGCTTTAAATAATTCAGCTGAAAAAACAATTACTTGGTGATTTATTGTTAATTCATGTGGCACTCGAACACGTTTCTAATATAACAACAAACACAATTAATCGCCGCTGTCACGTCTAATTTATTGAATTCGAACATAACATAAATATCAATAATTTTTCATAATTTTTCATAATTTTTCTCCGGACTTACCAGTGTGTAGGAATAGATGGTTTTTGAGATTGGTGTGTTTGGAGAATCCCCGCGAACAGATGTGACATTTGAAAGGCCACGACCCGGAGTGGACATACATGTGCGACCGGAGATCTCCCGGAGTCGGGAACGACTTGGAGCACAAGTTGCATTTGTGAGGTTTATCCTGAAACAAATTAATTTCATCAGATAAAGTGTTGTCAATCCGCTGTCACTGTAAACTTGACTTAAATAGATGCACAAGATTTGTGGTGTCTCCGGAGTGAGGTATTGCGTGCAGAAATCCGAGTGATAATAAATCTCGACTCCGGTTTTGAATTAAGAAATAAATTCGCTCCGGCATTAGCATAATTCTTGTTATAAATCATGGAAACAGTGTTTTAATTAGTTGAATTGTGATTATGTGGGGCAGTAGAGTCGCAACGTCGTGGGAACCTCCTCGAAGATGGTTCTGGTTCGGTGCTTGAACATATAGGGTGCGCCAGAACTCGCGACCCAGAGAAAATTTTCAAGTAAAGTAAGATACCAGGAACATGAAAAAATTCTATCTGTCAAAAAATTTTGACATTTATTTTTTGACATTTGACATTTTTTTATATCTATTAGGATACTGATGATCTTGTATATGTTTTTTTACAATTATTTAGAAAAGGGACAAAAATTTTGCCAATAAAAGCCACAAATAACATTGAACAGAGTTACTATTTAGGACACAGCTTCCTTGTTTCCTCTTTTAATAGCATATAGCAAAAAAACTTGGAAAATTATTTTTCCAACAGAAATAAATAGAGTCAAAGTGCAAACTTTAAACCCTCATAACTTCGAAATTTTTATAGATTAAATTTTTCTAACATTTTTTCCATGTTTCCATATCGTACCTTATATGGCATTTTTCTCTGGGGCGCGAGTTCTGGCGCACCCTGTATGTCAAGGGGGGCATTTTCACGTCTTTGTGCACTTGCACTTTCCACAGTGATCGATAAATCAACGATTTCTTGGAATTTGGTGCGTTTTAATTGCGAGGACAGTGTTTGCGAGGGTTTAAATCAACGTTTTTTTTTTTTCAATTAATGTCTGTAATAAAAGAATAAAGATCGTTAAATCAAGAGGGTAGCGGTGGGAACGAAAGAAATACTACGCTCCCGGTAACATCTGCCAGCACGCAAAGAGCTAAGACATCCGGTTCCTCGGCTATCGCTTTATCGATCAATATGACTTGGTGGCTCGAGAAAAGGCCGTTGATGCGGCATCTGCCCTTTTTAGATCAAATAAGTGTCTTTTAAAACAAAAAATTATTATAAAATTGAGGTCTAATTGTTTATGTTACTGCGCTACCACGCCCCCGGTTAATGTCTATGCTCTAATTAAATATTTTTTTTGGGTTTTTACAACGTTTTATGCACTTTTATGAGTCTTTTAGACCTCTAGTTTTTAATTATTCGTTTTTTGTAAAAATTTTGGGTGATTTTTGGTTGCTCATCTTCAAAAATTTAAAAAATTCGAAATTTTTTAAACTTGACCCAATTGTGTTTTATGCACTTATTTGAGTCTTTAAGACCTCTAGAAATGTAAAAAACGTTAAATGGATCAATTTTAAAGTTGAAATTTTTTTTGATTTTTGTCGAGATTTTGGTCAATTTTTGGCACCCGGAGCGGTCTAATGGCAATAACTCCGGACTTATTAGAGATAACCTCTTATATCTGGTACCATTGGATAGAAAATTGAATTTTCTATCATATATTAAAAAATTCAGTGCTCTACGATGAATAGTTACCGAGAAAATTTCTGATAAAATCAAAAATATCGAGAATTCAAATCCGACTATAACTTGAAAACTACTACGAATTTTGCAGTTTATTTGACGCCAATCGATTCCCCGGAACATTTTACATAGGTDTAGGTCAAAATATTATGTCATTGAGACACAGTTTTGCCCCAATTTACAAAATAAAAAAAAGTAAAAATTTGTTAACACCCCCCCCTTAAAATCTAGTGTTTTTAAACATGTCTCAGATTCAATTTAAATCTATCTTATCCGATAGATTTTGAGGTGCTAATTACAAATTTCTCAATTATTTTGCGCTATCTCCTTTAGTTTCGCCGTAATCGGCGTTTAAAAATTCAAAATTTTTTTGCGAGATATCGACTGGGCTTTGGCCTCAATCGATAGATTTTCTTACGCTGATTACGATGGAATTAAATTCTTTGCTCTAAATCTAATAGTTTGGTCGTAATCGCCGTTCAAAAAGTGAAAATTGTAAAAATTGTGAAATTTTAAATGCGTTTTTCTACGAAACTATAGAATTTAGAGCAAATAACTAAAAACCATTAAAATTAGCTTAAAATCATCTATTTACTGGCGCAAACCGGAAGTCGCTCCGGGTTATGGTTCCGGGTGCAGAGCCATTTTTAGTTTTTTCCAAAAAAAAATCATATCTCAAAAACTATGAGTCTTAGGGCAACAGGGTTTGTACAGGCGTGTTCTACGGTTAATTTTACATATAGTACTAGTTTATCATAAGAATCAAAAAATGTTGATTTTTGGTCAAAATCGGATATAGTGCTTWTACTTTTAGCCTTATTCTTAACTTTATTACTCAATATCTCAAAAACTATGCATCGTAGAGTATTCTAACTAGTTGAATCGTGTTCAGCGAGTAATTTTACGTCTAGAAAACTATATTTCAASCYTTTTTARGACTTWWYGTAAATTGACTATTTTTACGATTTTACTACCGCTCACCTTCAAAAACTCAAAAAATTCAAAATTTTTGAAACTTGACCCAATGGCGTTTTATGCACTTATTTGAGTCCTTAAGACCTCTAGGAATGTAAAAAACGTAAAATAGATCAATTTTAAAGTTAAATTTTTTTTTTTGATTTTTGTCAAGATTTTGGTCGATTTTTGGCACCCGGAGCGGTCTATTGGCAATAACTCTGGACTTATTGGTAATAACCGCTTATATTTGATACCGTTGGAAAGAGAATTTAATTTTCTATCATATGCAAAAAAGATCAGTGTTCTATGATAAATAGTTATCGAGAAAATCACATTGATAAGTGTCTTTCTAAGTCCAATTTTAAATTTTTTATTTAAAAAATATCACTTTTAACAGAAAAAACCGCAACATTAGTTGGTTTTTATTCGATTTCTTTCCCAGTCCTTGAACCGAATCATAAACCACCCATTTTTTCAGCTTTCTTCACCCATAGCAGGTGCTTCCTTGCCCTTAAATCCCCGTCAAGTACCCGAATTGCGTCGGATCACACACCATATGCCATCCGTTACATCATAATTACAATAATTTATTTTTTTTCTACCATCGGTTAGAAACCATATGGAAAGGCTTGTTTCCATAAGGAGAGACATCATTGTCCGTTGAAAAGGGTATCCTATTGTCATAAAAAAGGCAATCCGCGCGCATTTGTCAAAAATGACGAGCAGGTACCCCGGATTAAACCATATAGACGTCATATTTAATCAGCTCGAGAGCTTTTAACGCAAGATTAGACCCTGAAACTTACTTTGATATGCGTCATTCGATGGTAGTACAAATTCGAGGAGGCTGTGAAACGCTTGAGACACACGGGGCACTGGTGGGGCTTCTCCCCGCTGTGGATCCGCCGATGGGTGTTGAGGGAGGAGGAGGTACTGAAGCCTTTTCCGCACACCATGCACACGTGAGGTTTTTCGCCTGAAAAACACACAAGTCGGAAAGTTGGTCTTTACTACGTGCAGGGTGGTAAGTTACCTGTGTGCGTCCTCATGTGTCTTTTGAGGAGTGAGGGGCGGTCGAAGGCCTTGTTGCATACTCCACATGGGAGTAAAGTGCGCTCGCGGGGCCTGGCGCGGGGGGTGGGGACGGTGGCTTCAGGGAGGTCGCCTTGGGAGCTGGCGGCTGAACTGTCTCCTGAAACGGATTTTCGCTCGTCTTCGGCGGAGGGGGGAGAGCCGCTCAAGGCACGAGAGAGGAGGGACATGGAGAGGTCGAGGGGAGAGTCTGAAATTAAAGAAAAAGGTGACTGTTTAACTGAAAAAGTGGCGATTTTAATGCAAAATTAAGTAAAGAAACTGAAAACCTGTTTCAGTTTTGGCTAAAACTGTGAAAAAAATTATGAATAAATGATGTCTTCAGTTTTATTGTTAAATGCTAAAGAAATTTAGAAATAAGTGATTGGTGATTTCAACACTAGATTAAGCTGAAAACCGGTTTCAGTTTTAATTAAACCAGAAAAATTAGACCACTGAAACTGAAAATAAACATTTGTGGTGATTCCAATACTAGATGAAGTTACATATTTCCTGAAAACGCTTTTCAGGTTTTGCTTAATTTGTAAAGAGATCGAAAAGTATTTATTTAGTGATTTTAGTGGTAGATTAAGCACATACTCACTTTTTAGCCACTAAAAACATATTTCAGTTTTGAATAAATTTGTTAAGTTATATTTTCAACTGAAAATCTAAAATGTTAGAAATTTCAGAACAAGTGTTTGAGGATTTAACTAAATTTTTTCAGTATTTGAAAATCGGTTTCAGTTTTTACCAAGATGACTACAGAAACTGAACATTAACGATTATTACTAATAATTTTGCAAAAAAAAACAAAAATATGTCAAAATTGACTGGTGATTTCAATGCTGACTGAGCGAAATTATTTTAGTAACTGAAAATGTATTCAGTTTTTGCTCAATTAATTTGGAAAAATAGGTAGTGATAAACTAAGCTAAAAAATATTACCTTTTGTACACTGAAAATATGTTTCAGTTTTTGATAAATATTGAAAAAAGATAAATAAGTAAATAGTAACGGTTTCAAGTTATATTTTCAGCAATTAAAAATCTATTTGACTATTAGTTAAAAATACGAATAGTAATTTTAACGTTTACAGTAACCAAAAACTTGTTTCAGTTTCTGTCACTTCTCAAGTAAGACTTTTTGCTAAGTTTGCAAAAAGAAATAAAAATGTAAAGTAATACTTAATACAATATTTCAGTAATTGTAAGTTTTTGTTGAAATTAAAAAAAGACTGAAAATAACTGGTAATTTTAACGCTATTGTAAGCTATATAATTTCAGTGGATAAAAAAAGCTGTTTCAGGTGTTTCAACTTTTATTTAATCTTAAGTAAAATTCAAAAATAAGTGATTTTAACGTAAATTAAGCTACAAGCTTTCAGTAACTAAAAAATTTTATCAATTTTTTCAAATAAAATAATCACAAATTTTAATAACTGGTGATTTCAACGCTAGTCTAAGCTACATAATTTCAGTAAATAAACATTTATTTAAGTTTCATTAAACAAAAACACAAAAATACTTGATTTGATTTTAATGCTAGACCAAGTAATGATTTTAAATCAACTGAAAACCCATTTCAGTTTTCGCTAAATATTGAAAAAGAAGTCAAAAACGACGAGTAATTAGAATACATTATCTCAGTAATTAGAAATGTAATTAAGTTTTGTTAATTTTGGAAAAAAAATAAAAAATAACTGGTGATTTTAACGCTAGGCTAAGCTACACAATTTCAATAGTTAAATAAAAAGCTCTTTCAATCTTAAAAATTTGTAAAACAAGTGAGCTTAACACTAAACTAAACTACAAGCTTTCAGTAACTGAAAACCTGTATTAATTTTTTGCCAAATATAGAAAATCACAATCAAGTGGTGATTTCAACACTAGTGTATGCTACATAATTTCAGTAAACAGACATTTATTTCAGTTTTGATTAAACAAAGACACAAAAATATTCGGTGATTTCAATGCTAGACCAGGTAATAATGTTACATCAACTGAAAACTCGTTTCAGCTTTAGTTAAAATTTAAAAAACCTGAAAACAGATGATGTTGTGTTTGGTCAAAAATAAAAATATTTGTGTCCAATTTTACAGTTTTAGTTGGTGTGTTTAGCAACTGTAAATCTATTTCAAATTATGAAAAATTAAACTACATATTCTTAAATAACTGAAAATCTGTTTCAGTTTTTAATAAGTTAAAAAAAAGTAAGTAGCTTCAGTAATTTTAAGTTTTTGTTAAAATTGGAAAATAACTGGTGATTTTAACGTTAGTGTAAGCTACATAATTTCAGTAGATAAATAAAAGCTGTTTCAGGTGTTTCAATTTTTATTGAATCCTAAAGAAAATTAATAATAAGTGATTTTTAAACTTAATAATCGCAAACAAATGGTGATTTCAACGCTAGTCGAAGCTACATAATTTCAGTAAACTGACATTTATTTCAGTTTTGATTAAACAAAGAGGCAAAAATACGTGGCGATTTCAATGCTAGACCAAGTAATGATTTTACATCATCTGAAAACCCGTTTCAGCTTTGGCGAAAATTGAAAAAACCTGAAAACAGATATGTTTTGTCAAAAATAAAAATATTTGTGTCCAATTTTGGTCAAAATTGGGCCGCCTCTAAAAACGCGTAATTTATGGTAGATGCAGACGCGAGTTTGAGATAACTCTCCYTCTTGGGATTGTTTAAGACATTCTCACGTAGTCCGAGTTCAGCTTTCCTATCAGCTCGTAAAAAACTCCATCTTTTCCCGATACGTCTTTATCTCCTCACAAAATGAGTAATAACTCGAAATTCCAAGCTTCATAACTCACCACCAAAACAAACAGATTTCTCGAGGAAAATTAATGGCCATCTCGACACCGTATCGAATTTTCATCCTGTTCAAACTAATTAATTTCGCCCAAAAAACTGTTTTTCTTAATTATCCACGAGTAATTTATCAAATTTCTTGTCCATCAATTAAAATAAAGCGATAATTAGATTAATCAAGTCGGCGAGTTTTTGCAACTCGAGCAATCAAAATGTTAAGGGGCCATAAATTTCGACAAGTAGCTATTGTTTCAGGTGGATGATGCCTTCATGAATCGCAAACTCGTTAACGGGGAACAATAGTCGCTGAAAAAATCGCCAAGTCGAAATTTTCAGCGTTTTTCAGTGGATACCTTCGAGGATCGAGTCCATGGTTTGCCGGTAGAGCGACGCCCTCATCCTCACGAAAAACAGCTCTTCCGGCCTTTCCGGTAAATAGTACACTAGGAGTTCCGTGTCGGGCGAGATCGGTTTAACCGCTTCATAAACCGGTTCACCTCTGACTTTTGTTGCGACGAAATTAACCGCCGGGTTGAACGAAGTGGCCACTCGAACGAACCGGACCCAATTGCAGTGGCGCACCCTCCGGGGGCCACTTCCGGAGATTTCGTCGTAACACCCGAAACGGTGCCGGATCTGAAAAAAAATTAAATTTGTCAAAAAAGTGGTGATTTCAATGCTAGCAATGATGCAGTTTTTCAGTGATTGAAATTGTGTTTTAGTTTTGTTTATTTGAAAATTTCGAAAATAAGTGATGATTACAAGGCTAGATGAAGAAACTGAAAATCTGTTTCAGTTTTTGATAAGTTAAAAGTCAATGATGGACTGCAATGTAACTGAAAATGTGTAAGACTTTTGCCAAATTTGCAAAAATTTAAAAATGTGTGGTGATTTCAACGCTAGAATAAGCTACGTATTTTCAGTAACTGAAAACGTGTTTTACTTTTCTGGTACCTTAACTTAAATGCTAAAAGTAAAGTGATTTCAATGCTATCATTTCGGAAATAACTGAAAAAATGAATTCTGAAACTTAAAACTTGTTTTAGTTTTTGTCAGATTAGAAAAAAAGACCTAAATTGACGATAATTCTGTCAATGCCACTATTTCAGTCATTACTGAAAACGCATTTTAGCTTTTTCTAAATAGATATTCATTGAAAAATAAAACTGATAGGTGATTTCAATGCTACAATATCTACATCATTTCAGTAACTGAAAAATTGTTTTAGATTTTGGTAAATTTAAAACGAAAAATGTTAAGGAAGTAGTAATTTTAAACATAATACATTCAAAACATAAAAAAAATTTTCAGTTTATGATACCTATTACATGAAAGAAGTAGCAGTTTTTGATACATTTGCTACATGTTTCAGTTTCTGCTAAATATTTAGAGAAATATAAAACTGAGTAGTGATTTTAATGCTAAACTATCATTTAGTATTTCAGTAACTATAATTGTGTTTTAGATTTTGCTGAAGTTGAAAAGAAAAAAATTAAAAATAAGTGGTAATTTCAACGCTAAACTAAGCTACATATGTAATTTCAGTAACTAAAAAAACTGTTTCAGTTTTGCATTGTTTGTTACATTTTCAATAACAAACTTTATTAGTGATTTTAATGGTATGCTAAGTTACATAATTTCAGTAACTAAAAACGTGTTTTGTTTTCTTCTACATTAACTTAAGGCTAAAAGTAAACGCTAAATTAGCTAAAACATGAAAAGTAGATGGTAATTTCAATGCTAGAGTAAGCAACATTTTTTCAGATTATTATAAATTTGTCAAATAAATAGTGATTTCAATGCTAGAATAAACAACATTTTTTCAGTTTGTCCTAAATTTACTAAGTAAACGGTGCTAAATTAAACTACATTTTTTCAGTTTTTCGAAAATTTGCTAAATAAGTGGTAATTTCAATGGTAGAATCAGCGACATTTTTTCAGCTTTTGTAATTTTTTTCAATAAGTGGTATTTTTAATGTTAGAATTAGCTGCATTTCTCTGTTTTTTCTAAATTTACTAAAAAAAACAAAAAGTAAATAGTGATTTCAATGCTAGAATAAACAACATTGTTTTAATTTTGCAAAACTTATTAAGTAAATGGTAATTTCAAATCTAGATTAAGCAACGTTTTTTCACTTTTTTCAAAATTTGTGAAAAGACGACAAGTAAATATGATTTCAACACTAAAATAATCTTAATTTGCTAAAACACAAAAAGTAGAAGGTAACTTTAATACTAGATTAAACAACATTTTTTCAGTTTATCCTAAATTTACTAAGTAAATAGTGATTTTAATGCTAGTGTAAGGAACATTTTTTCAGATTTTTGTAAAGTTACTAAATAAGTGGTAATTTTAATGCTAGACTTACAAAATTTTTTCAGTTTTTACAAAATTAGTTAAAAAATGATTTTAACGCTAGAATGCTAGCAATAGAAAAATTAAACTATGTATTGATTTCAATGCTAAACTATGATTCATCATTTCAGTAACTATAACCGTGTTTTAAATTTTGCTAAATTTAACAAAAAAAATTAAATAAGTGGTGATTTCAACGTTAAACTAAGCTACATATGTAATTTCAGTAACATTCTTGCATTTTTCATAAATTGAACTTTAGTGGTGATTTTAATGATTACAGTAACTGAAAAACTGTTTCAGTTTTTACTTAAAATTAAAAATTAACGGTGATTTCAATGCTACATTGCGACACATTGTTTAAGTTTTTGCTGAATTTACTAAAAAAAACGAGTAAATGGTACTTTCAATGCCAGAATATACGACATTGTTTCAGTTTTTGTTAAATTTGTTATAAAACAACAAGTAAATGGTGATTTCAATACTAGGAGAAGCGACATTTTTTAAATTTTTGCCCAAATTGCTAGAAAACCAAGAGTAAATGGTGATTTCAATGCAATGAAAAAATATTAGTAATTTCAAAGCTAGAACAAGCGACATTTTTTCAGTTTTGGCAAAATAAGTTAAAAAATCAACTAGTAAATAGTGGTGATTTTGTTGCTAGGATAAGCGACATTCAATGGTAATTTCAATGCAAGATTAAGCAACAATATTTAGTTTTTGCTAAACTTATTTAACCAACAAGAAGTTAAAAACAACAAGTTGTTTAATTTTAACTATAGTGTAAACAACATGCTTTAAAAAACGAAAAGTAAATAGTGATTTCAATGCTAGAATAGACGACATTTTTCAGTTTTTGGTGATTTTAATGCTAGACCAACATGCGAACGTGTTAAACACCCGTTTGTGTTGTTAGCCACCCTTGATATCGTCGATCTCCTTTCCCACCATCAGATCAGTGCACCGAAATCGCTTTGAATGACAACACACTGTATATCCCTCGATTGTGGTTCGCCGCTGATACAATTTAAATCCCGTATTCCATTATTCAGCGCATTATGCTGTCGCAGGACATCACAGTCTGCAGTCCGTCCTGTTAACGGCCTTGATTTATTCGAATTCGGCATTTCGCATTGTCTGCCTTGCCCTACCTCTCCCCTACCTCTCTCCCATCCCAGACTCATCACAAAAGGGCGACTTAATCGTAATTAGCACGAGATACAGGTGCACACTCGTGAAAAGAGACAACATCTGTTTTATGACGTGACAAGAAAATCATAATAAAAGGACAGGATATTACCTGTGATGCGAGATCATTAAAAAACCGTCTGGAATCTGGATTGGACACTTGCTGTCTCTCTCCAACTTGGACGACTCCCATATTGGCTATCTTTGTCATTGGTGCACCTGTGGCGCCCGATGGTTTATTACAGTGGCGATAATTGACCTTCTGTTCTTATCAAAACTTTTACACGTGATTTATTTTCTATAGTAGACCACATAATTAAGATGAAAGTGGGTGCTAGACGCATTAGTTTGCTGAAATCCTGAAAAATTCAACAATGCGTTCTAACGTATCATTAAAGTCTCCGAATGGGAGACGAATTATTGGTCAATCCTTGGACATCCTTTTGTTGCAGGACCGTCCAGGACATCTCAACACGGCCTTTACGGCTTTGCCGCCATTGTCTCACTAATACATACTTGCATGCGTTTATACAGGACCTGCTTCTTTTCAACTCGCCGCCACCGCTTATCTACAATTGCTACTGTTTATCCGCGATCGTTTTTTTTCAGCATTATCTTACATCGCGGCCTTTTGCCCGCAAATGCGACGCTTATTGAAACGGTGAAGCAATTGATGAGCTTTTTCACAAAGGACACCAGCAGGAAATTGTACCAAAATCTTATTTTATTGTACGATAAATTAAAAAAGTGCTTGTAGTTTTACTCAGCGTTGAAATCGCTAACTAAAATGTCGCTTAATCTAGTATTGAAATCACCATTTACTTGGCAAATTTGGGATAAGCTGAAAAAATGTTGCTTAATCTAGCATTGAGATTATTATTTACTTATCAAGTTTAGCAAAAACTGAAAAAATGTCGTTGATTCTAGCATTAAGAGTACCACTTATTTATCAAATTTTTAAAAACTGAAAAAATGTTGCTTAATCTAGTGATATTCTAGTGTTAACACCGGTTTATTACAAATTTTATAGAAGCTGAAAAATGTCGCTTAATCTAGTATTGAAATCACCATTTACTTAGCAAATTTATGATAACCTGAAAAAAAGTTGCTTAATCTAGCATTGAAATTACCACTTATTTAGCCAATTTACAATATTCTAGCATTGAAATCACCAATTACTTAGCAAATTTAAGACAAACTGAAAAAAATGTTGCTTAATCTAGCATTAAAACTGCCTTCTATTTTTTGTGTTTTAGCAAATTTAACTTATTCTAGCGTTGGAATCATCATTTACTTGTCGTTTTTTACAAATTTAGTAAAAACTGATAAAATCTCGCTTATTCGGTCATTGAAGTCACCTTTTAGTTGTCATTTTTTAACAAATTTAATAAAAACTTAAAAAACATTGGTTAAATCAATATTTACTAGTGGTTTTTTAACAAATTTTGCAAAAAAACTGAAAAAATGTTGCTTGTTCTAGCTTTGAAATTACTAATATTGCATTGAAATCACCATTTACTCTTGGTTTTCTAGCAATTTTGGCAAAAATTGAGAAAATGTCGTATATTCTAGCATTGAAATTACCATTTACTTGTTATTTTTACTTTTCGTGTTTTAGCTAATTTAGCTTATTTTAGCGTCGAAATCATTATTTATTTGTCGTTTTTTTACAATCTTATTAACATCTGAAAAAATGTCGCTTAATTTAGGATCAAAATTATCATTTATTTAGCAAGTTTAGCAAAAATTGAAACAATGCTGTTTGTTCCAGCGTTAAAATCACCATTTAGTTTTTGTTTTTTTAGCAAATTTAGCAAAAACTGAGAAAATGCTGCTAATTCTAGCATTAAAATTGACATTTATTTAGCAAGTTTACAAAAAAACTGAAAAAAATATCGTTTGATTCTAATTTTAGGTCGTTTTTTTCAAAAATAAAAAAATGTGCCTTATTTCAGCATTGAAATCACCATTTATTCTTGGTTTTCTAGCAATTTTGACAAAAACTGCAAAAATGTCGCTTGTTCTAGCGTTGAAATCACCATTTACTTGTCCTTTTGTAACAAATTTAACAAAGACTGAAAAAATGTCGCTT